AAGCCCCCCCAGGGCCCCCTTCCCCCCACCTCGATGGTTCGGTGCAGGGGGTCCACGATCTGCCACACGACCAAGGTCACCACGTCCAGCCCCACCAGCAGCCCCACGGTGGCGTAGAGTTTCCAGGGCTCCAGAGTCTGGGATTTGGGGATTTGGGGATGAGGCCGGGTCACCAGGGACCCCCTGAGACCCCCCCAGTGTCCCCCCTCACCTTCCTCTTCTCCTTCTTCTCCTCCTTCTTGGTGAAGACGGTGTGGACCCACCAGATCTTGGTGAACATGCTGCCGTAGGCCAGGCTAAAGCCCAGGCCTAAGAGCCAAAGCCGGGCCTGAAAGGGACGGTTGTGCTTCCAGCTGGGAATTCCCGGGACGCCTGGGCCACCCCCAGGGATGGGACCCCCCCAAAAGGGGTGTAAATCCCCCCAAAATGGGTGTAAAATCCCTGAAAGGGCTGTAAAACCCCTAAAATGTGTATAAACCACCCCAAAATGGGAGTAAACCCCTAAAATGGGAGTAAACCCCTAAAATGGGAGTAAACCCCCGGCTGTATCTCTGACTGTTCTTCCTCCAGCTGTTCCCACCCCTGGTTGTTCCCATCCCTGGCTGTGTTTCCAGCTGTTCCCACCCCTGGTTGTTCCCATCCCTGGCTGTGTTTCCAGCTGTTCCCATCCCTGGCTGTGTTTCCAGGTATCCCTGGCTGTGTTTCCAGCTGTTCCTCCTCCCCCTGTTCCCGTCCCTGGCTGTCCCAGACCTGGCAGACGAAGGGGAACATCCCGGGGCCGATGTGGTATCCGTCCAGTCCCAGTGGGAACACGGCGGCGAGCGCCAGGGTGCAGCCCACGGCCGTCATGTTGTTCAGGTAGGGCTGGGAATTCTGGATGTACCTGCAGGGAAAGGGCCAGGACATTCCACTGGGGACCTCCAACCCATTTTTCCTGGTTTTTCCCTGTTTTTCTCCTGGGTTTTTCCCCAGTCTCTTTCTGTTTTCCCCATTTTCCCTGGTTTTCTCCATTTGGGGAGGTGTCCCCAAATCCTGACACAGGGGGGTGTCCCCAAATCTCAGGACAGGGGGGTGTCCCCAAATCCTGACACAGGGGGGGTGTCCCCAAATCCCGGGACAGGAGGGGTGTCCCCAAATCCTGACACAGGGGAGTGTCCCCAAATCCCGGGACAGGGGGGTGTCCCCAAATCCCAGGACAGGGGGGGTGTCCCCAAATCCCAGGATGGAGGGGGTGTCCCCAAATCCCAGGACAGGAGGGTGTCCCCAAATCCCAGGACAGGGGGTGTCCCC